TTCTTTATAACACTTACATTCATATGCTGTCTGTACCATCAGCCTAATGAAATTTGAAGCCCTGTAACATCCACTGTGCAGTCTTGACTTGGCACTATAAATTTTTCAATTTATGGACCACTGAAGGAATTGTTAAGGTGTCAGAAATTATTTGGTGATGTTGACATTAAAGTGTAAGAATGGTATAAGGTCCAACTGAAAACAGTTTAGTTTAATGGGACTAAGAAACATGTTGGCTGTTGGAACAAATGTAGTAACACATTGGGTGAATGTATAGAGCAGTGTGATTGGTCTAATAACTGTAGTACTGGGTGTACAATTTATGTCTTTTGGGGCGTGGCTTGTGTTGCATGGTCAGCTGGCGATCTGTTGACGTCGGCAGGACTGGTGCGTGTTCTTCCCTTGAGTCACAGGCGAATCAGTTTCAGTGCCGCTAGTAACAGGGAGCTGCGAGTGTTTCTCTTCACTGATACATGTTATTACATTAATTGTTCTTACCTTAAATCACAAAAGATGTTCAAAGTGACTTCCTTCTGCTTGCAGGCAAGCTTCACATCTCGTTAACATATTTCTAAATACTCGACGAAGCTCTTCTTGGGATATTGCCGAAATGAATTGTCGTTTCCTGTTCTTCTTTTTATCCAAAACTGATCCCGTACTAAGAAATTTTTTTACTAAGCTCTCTATCATGGGCTTGCTAGGAACACTTACACCGGGAAAATGTCTGCGAAAATTACGGCGGCATCTTCCGTAGGATGATTATTTGGCGTATGTTTCGACTAAGAACACGTTGCTTAATACTATACACCATATTATCAACGTTAATCCGCTACAAGAGACGCAATGAAACTGATTTGCCTGTGACTCATGGGAAGAACACGGACTAGTTCCGCCCAGGTCAACAGATCGCCAACCGACCTCGCGGTGCGGGCGCGCCCCGAAAGACGTAAATTGTAGACCCGGTATTATTTTGACAAAACCTATAATAAAACTGCCTTTAATTTTGTATTTACCTTTGTAATTGTTAACTGGAATAAAGTTTTTAAAGCAAATATTTTGCATTCTGAAGAAAAAATAATGTGGCAATATTTCAGCTTCACTAAAACAAAGACTGGGTAGTGTCCTCCCTCCCCTGTAAATACTGCAAAATATAATATTTTACATATAATTTAAGAACCATAGTTTGGATCTTTCAGATTCCATTATTTTTTCAGATTTCTTTTATGCTTATTACATTTATATATGTAGATATTTTCTTCACTGTTATCAGTAATGACATATGTTTAATTTATTTTTTAGTTTAACACCATGCCAAATGAGGTGTTAAAGGACTGTTGCATACAATTGGTAAGTGTATGGTTTAAATAAACATTTGTTCTGCATGTCCAAAGGGTAATCGAAGAGTTATGTTCCATGGTACTGCAAATTATTCAATTTTGGCATGTGATAAGAATATAGAACTCTAAGATTTGAGGTTTTCACAGCAGTGAGTATGAAGATTTCTGTCTTCTGGGTTGTTGCAGTGTGTAGTCTGGTAGATGTTTACCAACGTTTCAGAGGTCATACTGCCTCTGTCATCAGGGCGATTCTTAGTATGAAGATTTCTGTCTTCTGGGTTGTTGCGCTGTGTAGTCTGGTCGATGTTTACCAACGTTTCGGAGGTCATACTGCCTCCGTCATCAGGGCGATGATGATGGAGGCAGTATGACATTGGTAAACATCGACCAGGCTACACAGCGCAACAACCCAGAAGACAGAAATCTTCAGAATATAGAACTGTTTGTGAATTATGCTTTGAGGATGTGTTTATTTATCATCATACAGTAATTTAGAATTGTTGAATCAGATCAGTTATAACAATATATGCCATTGCATCACATGTTACCCTATGTGTTTATGTATTTTATTTTAATATAGGATGACATAGAACATATGCTAAAGGGCAAGGAAACTGTAAATTTAAAGGACTTCATGGAATTTCAAGAGGACAGAATTAAAAAGACAGCCACTGAAAATAAGAAATTGAATGTTACCAACTGTGGCTTCAAGAAATTGAATAGTACATTACTGAGTATGAAGAGGAAGAAGGACAAAAAACTGGGTTGTTACAGAAATAATCCCAAGAAATGTAAGAGAGGAGCTTCAGAAGATCATATCTTTAAGGTATGTTTTGATGAATCCCAATAGGTGTACTTTTCAATGAGCCTGGGATTCCAAATAATTACATTGATTATAATTATGAAGATGGCTGTCTTCTGGGTTGTAGTGCCATATAGTGTGGTAGAAGTTTAGCATTGTTTCGGAGATAATTGGTAAACTTCTACCAGACTACATGATGCTTCAACCCAGAAGACAGCCATCTTCATACTCGCTGCTGTGAGAACCTCAATTCTTGATCTTAATTGTGCTAAAAAATGATATTATGCAAGTGTGTTACTTTTATATACCTCATTATGTACTTTTGAATGCAGCTGATTTTCAGCATAGTTTTCATTCTATCCTTTTGTTGTGAATCGAAAAATTTTAAATTTTGTTCATTCTTTTGTGTGCTACTTTAATTTTTCACTGCCTAATATAAGTAACAATAATCAAAAGTTCTAAGCTTGATGTAAAGCCAGAAACTGAATCTGGTGGTCTTTATTTCAGGACCTTGAAGGACATGAACCAGTGGGGTGTGCTACTGGTATGGTTTATATTCCTTCAGACTGTGAACTGCTTGAAAGTTCAACTAAAGTTGATCAGGGCTCTGCTAATTGTGAACGTGTTCAGGATTCAGCTAAGGGAAGTCAATATTTTACAGATGATGATACCAAGTGTTTACGTAATGACATTCAAGTGTCTGTAATTTGTGAACCAACAGAGTTTCCAGCTGATGGGCCACAGGTCTCTTTATGTCATGAATCAATGGAGTGTTCATCTAGTGAGCGTCAGGTTCCTGTGAGTTCTGAATATACGTTATGTTCAGGTATTAACAATTATTCAGAAAAAGAAACAATCACAAGTGACTTGTCCAACAGTGACACAAGTTCTGTTATTCCAGTGGTGAGTTATTTTGCTTTTGAAAATATTTTATAAAATGAATGATAACTGTCTTTGATATACATAGAATTTCTCTTGAATTTAATGCAAATATTTAGGGATTTTACAAGATTTATTAATTACTGCTTAAGTGTCTGAGCTTCAGACTTTGTTTTTACTAATGATGTTCTATCTGTGAAATATGTTAATGCTCTTCCTTTTTACGTTAATCCTTTCAGGCCAAATGGTAACGCTATATATCAGCTGCTGTAACATCAGTCATGCTGCATGTTATGGTTTTTGGGTTTTATATTATTCTCAGTGTAACAACTATTATTTCCGTAAACACTACTAACTATTATTGTCCGTTGTAAATGTGCAGTGTTTTGTTTTCTTTGCAGCACATGCTAAATTCTTGAACATGGTTTAGAAGAGTTTAGAAGGCTTCAAAAGAAAGGCTAATGTGTTCTGAAAATTATAAACCTAATTTTGTTTGATATGAGTTTGATAAAAATATTATTTTTTATCTAATTTTAAGTTTATATTAAATGCTCTTAGGAAATAATATCTTTTGTCAGAAGAACATGAACTTTATCAAATGCAGAAGTGCTGTAAATTTGTAAGTGGATTGTCATATAAAGCAGAGACTTTTCACAATGTCAGTACCTTTTAATGATGTGGATGGGGTTTAATTTTCTCTAATATTGTTTTCTAGGTACAAATAAAACAAGAAGATACTGTTTTGGAACAAGAAATTACTGATCTTGAAACAAGTCACAGTAGTGTGGGTCCTGAGGAGTCAGATATCTGTGAAGAAACCTTTACAAATTATCAGGTATGATTTTTCATTTATTTTATTTTATGGAAATAGAAGTTTTGTGTTGTATAGTCCCATATTGTTCTGTATAGTCACACTGTAATGTTTTATGAACTATTGCAGCCAAAAGAAGTATTATTACAAGTCCAGTTTTGTATCACAATGGTAGCTTAAACAGCTAGTAGTCTTTACATTGTTATTCTTGTCGTGTGTTTTTCATTATAAAAATAATTTCTATTCTTAATCTGGTTTACCATTTAAGACATAACTGGTAACTGAGAAAGTAAATATCCTGTCTCTCTGGCTTGCATAAAGATACATAGAATGCCTTTCTGTTTGTGAACAGGATGCTATTGTGAAGGAAGAGATAAAAATAGAAGAAAATCCTTACTTTGAAGACCTGAACATTCGTGGGGAAATAGAGGAGTGTTCAACATTGAGTATGGATCGTGTGGACAATGAATACCAAAATACAAATATGAAGGAGCTGAGTACTGGATTTGTCTGTGGTGAAGAAATGCCCGATCATTCTTTTTCCAATGATGGTTACAGACACCTTCAAAGTATGGTTCCTAAAATTAATAGTCAGGAACTAATGTGTAGTGCAGATGGGTCTCTTCAGAATGTTGAAAATATAACAGAAAGAAAAGTTCAATTTGTTAAAAAACTGGTATTCGTTGGGCGCACTGCCAGTGAAACTGTTAAAGAGACAGGCAAGTTGACACATAGAATGAAACCAGATTCCGTGAAACAAATTGTTGTAATACCACCCAGACCCTTTGGAGCAGCAACAGAAGTTATGAATGAGATGGATAAAGTTTTAGGCATTCATCTGCCACCATTTCCTCTGGAGCAAGTAGGAAGTTTGAAATGGTAAACCTTGTTTTATAACATAATTACAAATCAGGTTTCTCATTTGGAAATAAAGTATTGCTGATTTTTTCAGTTGAGTGGTTGAATATACCCTTCTGTTTAATGGAATTGTTGTGGCTGGTATAGTAATCAGTTTATTGGAGTTTGTGCTGTTGAAATGTTGGAACTTTCTTATCTGGAAGGTTTAGTAACCTACCATACCTGATTATCAGTAAATACAGGTAGCCCTCGATATGCGCAATTCAGAATAACGCCGATTTTGAAACCAGCAAGTCAAAAAGTGAAGAAAAATTTTTTTTACTATTATTTATAACGTTTTACAATGTATCTCATACTGATTCTTATAATAAATCATAATTCTTACTTCGCTGATTTTGAATAAAAATTATAATACAGTCATCTCTGCAATTACGTATGTTTTGTTAATGCGAATTTGCCCCAATGAGATCGATGAATCGGTAAAAGTTGTTTGTGAAATGCAAACTTTTGCATATGCGAATTTGCTCTTATGCAATTTCATTCCTGGGGCTTTAAACTTTCAAAGGACTAATTTAATCTCTGCAGAGGTACCGGGGTTATTTTTCCTATGCGATTTTCTATAGGTCAGCGTCTTACTTGAATGCAACTATTGCTTAACAGCAGAGATAACTGTACACATCAATCACATGAAAGAATCACAGTCAATCGCGGGGACCAACGAATTGCCGATTTTAAGTGTATAAAATATATTTTTTAAATTCCCTTTATTTTATTTACGTTATTTCAGAGCTTTAAATGCAATGCCATTATATTACTCGTCAATGTTTGGGTGCTGGGAATGCATGTCGTCGACTTCCCATTGATTTACATTATAAAAGAGTTTCAATTTACCCCGATTCCATTTACGCCGGTTCATCCAGGAACGCATCCCCGGCATAAATCGAGGGCTACCTGTACCTGAAGTGTTTTCCTCAGGCTTAGAGGAATGAAACTGACCACCTAGCTCATTCAGTATCTGAAGACGTATTGTAAATTTGCTTTTGTGTTTAAAGAAACCTCCTAACAAAACTTTTATTTTTGTTTGGGTTTGCTGGGCTGAACCTTGAATGTGATTGCTGGGTTTGGTTTTGCACTTACTGAAACATTGTTTTCGAGCTTGGAATTGCTAACCCTCACTCAGGTCTTGGTAAAATCTATCACAGAAAGTTGTTCTATTTTTGTGAATTTCTCAAAAACTGCATCACTGAACTACAAGAACATGCATATACTAATTTGTTACAGAATGATTTAGAGGCAGGGAGAAACACAGAAAAGATCAAGTTTGACTTATGCATGTTTACTTTAAAATCAAATTTGACTTGCCTTTGAATTTTCCTCATTAAAACACTTTGTATTGAAAGAGCTAAGTAGTCTGGAAACTGTTGCTGACTGGGTTTTATTATATTACTAATATTAAAAGGTATTATACAGTAGATTGTTAATGAACCCAGGAAACTTCTAGCTTTTCCACCTATTCAGCATCATAATAATTATCTAAACCTAAACCTTTTTTAAAACTCATGTTGAAGGAGTGTCAAGTTTTCTATGCTTCTTTCACAGGTTACAGTATACCATTGCTATTGATCATCCGTACTCACTTGCGACAAAGGAACCTTATGTCACAGTATGCCATATCTGTGAAATCTGTAGAAAAGTCTTCCATTCTGCTTATAATGTCAGCAAACATTTGCACGCACATTTTAGGAACTCAGCGGTTGCCTGCCGTTATTGTGGTAAACGGATTTGCAGTTTTGAGCTTTGGACAGACCACAAGCAAAAATGCTTAAAGCAGTGCACAAAGTGAAGACAGGAAAATGGTTTTAATCCCCAGTGATATCAGTTTGAGTTTGGATTTTGTCAGTTGAGTGCAGTCAAAACATTAAACATTTATATTGAGACTAAATAATATTGAATAACATATGAGAAAAATGTGGCTATGTATTTGAATGTTAGACTGTCTTATCAGTGAAAGCAAAATTTCTGAGGACTGGCGTGAGAAGACAATGTCTCCAGCTGTCTTGTCATAGCATCATTTCAGTACCATAGCGACCTGGTGCCTGGAGTTTCTCAAGCCCTGTTTTGACACACTTCATATATTATAAGAAAAAACAGGCTTATATTTGAAATGGCCATGTTTAGTATAATGTAAAATTATAACATGGTGACTGCATGAATGATGTTTTTTTTATATAGGTAGACTGTTATAGCCAGGAGTATGGAACTTTGTATTGCTCACAAATATGATTACAAATGTAACATATTTTGTAAGTTAGTTAAATTATGAACTTTGAGGTTTCTTGCAAATCTCATATTAATAAGTAGAAATCTCTGCTAATTGAAATAATTCACAGAAATGACATGTATAATATTAATTTGAAACTTATGGTAACATTTACTGTATAAAGTGAAAGGCTTAAATTAAAGTACACAGTACACCTTATAGGTTTGTCTCAATTTCTTGTTAATCTTGTTATGTACATAAAATAACACACGCAAGATAGTGAAAGAACTTAGAATTTGCAAAAGATTCTGCACCGAGTTATGATCACACAATATATGTTATTAGTATCTTTTGTTAGTGGGTTAAACTTTGTGTAACGTATAAATTAATTACCTTTTTTGTGGATTGTTCTTTTCTGGGTTATGATGGCATGTAATCTTGTAGGTGGTTACCAACATTTCAGAGGAATAATTGGCTCTGTCTTCAGGGTATAAATCCCTCTGACATGTCATTATTCACCTACAAAATGATGTAGCATCCACAGTATCGTGACCAAGAGGACAACAGTTCTAATTTTCCTCATTTTCACTAATATATGTACTTGAAATTTCAAGCAGTGAACTAAATTGTTAAACACCAAAAGTGTGTATGTGATAAATGCTGTTTCCTTTGCACATTTAGTTTATAGACTTTCATTAATATTGGAAATGGAGCATTTACCTCAAATCATAAGGAATCATAAGGCATATTTGTTAATTATACTGCCATTGTTGTTAACTTTATTGTATTGATGATTTTTGAAACTGTATACAAGCCAACTGCAGTGCTTCTAACAAATGTGGAAAACCCATGAACTTGATTGGAGTATGAGGACAATTATACTTCCAAGGCATTAGTTTTTGAATTTGTAAGTTTTTATACAGCTTCTGTTTATATAGCCTTTTTTAAAGACAAATTCCTTATGTACCCTGATGATGATAAAATGTGGACAGAAGGTCAAGGACTAGACGTCATTATATTCATTCTACCTGGTTGTTTATCTGAGCTCTCTGTGCAGTTGTCTGTCTGTCTGTTGTGGTGGGAAAACATGAAAACAGCTGTTATCCAACATCCAGCAATATGCACAGCTGAAGTTAAAGAACTTCTGGAACACATTTGATCTGTTCATCCAATAACTACATTTTCTTAGATCAGAGGAACATTTTTGAACTCGATGAATTCTCAAATACTAGCTTTTTTTGACGAACAATTAGAGGTTATGGCTCAGTATGGTTTTGTGATGTTATTTGTGGCAGCATTTCTTCTTGCACCCTTCTCTATTGTGTTAATAATATAACCAAGTTCTGTATTGATGCATACAAATTACTAATCAGTGTGATGGTGTTTACCTTGTAAAATTTGTGGTTTAAGTGCATGGGAAGATATCCTTCAGGGGAATAACATCTCGCAGTCATCTTTCATTCTTTTGTAATAGTGTTTACTAGTGACTTTGCACTGCATTTTGAATATATTGTAAAAAACAACTGGGTACAGTGAGTTGGCAAAGGCTGCCCGCAAGGCTCCGGTAGCTGACCTGGCTTCTGGAACATAATGTATAACTCACTCCTCAACCTGAACTTTTCAGACCACTCTCTGGTCATTGCATTTGCTGATGATTTAATAATTCTATCAAATGGCGCGAGCGATACTGAAGCAGAAAATTATGCCAATGCAGATGTTAGAAGAATAGAAATATGGACAAAAAATAACAAAGTACAATTTAATGATAGCAAGTCTATGACCATGCTGATTACAAAGAAAAGGAAATCTGCAAATAAACAAATTAATATTAACGTAAACTATAAATGAATTAAACAAGTCAAAGAAATAAAATACCTGGGAGTACATTTGAATAGCAAATTCAATTTCGACAAACATATAGAGAGTATAACAGAAAAGACTATTCAACTTATACATATGCTGAC